TTTACTTTTATATACATATTTTACTCATCTATCTCATCCTCTCACTAGTCTTTGCATAGTAAGGGGGAACACCCATCTATCTCATCCTCTCGCTAATCTATGTATAGTAAGGGGGAACACGCATCTATCTTATTCTCTCGTTAGTCTATGTCTAGTGAGGGAGGAACACCAACGAGACATGAAACTCTCCTCACCCCTCGAGATAGGTTTACACCACAGCAACGACGCAAGAGCAAGGCTTGTATCAGCCCCTCATCACGATGATACGAGGCGACCGAACATTGTTGATGGAGGAAATTGGTGATGCTACAACTCTTGTGGTAGTATCTGGATTCGACCATCGGCATGTTTCTCGACAACTCTTCGGTGTAACAATTCTTAGACACTTGTTGGTGTGTCATTGGTTTTACACTCCCTGGCGGGGGTCCTAGGTCCCATGTCTGGACGTTTAGTACGCAGCCAGAAGGTTGCACTTCACTCCATAAAATTTTGTCGTGTAGTGAAACTTTTGTTTTCATGTGTGTTTTGTAGGCGAATTTGGGGTTGAATCGGGGTTTATCAAGGGACGAGTCGGAGAAAATGAGGTTGAAGGTGTACGGTCGGTAGTCATGTAAGGTGTTAGGTGGGGTACCGACAGCGATTCGTGCATGTTAGGCGGCATCAAGGCACCTTTTAGGAAAAAAAAAATTTTTTTCGTTGCCCCACATGCACAGTTTCATAGATGGAAATAGATGTGTTTTGTCAAACATGGCATTTCCACGACACCGTTTTGATTTTTTTTTCCTAGTTCAGCTTAAGAAGGACGAAAAAGAATAAGATTTGATAGAAAATAGAAAGCATCCCTAAAATGAACACAGGACCTCTTGACTCGTAGTTCCACTTATTCTCCCAACCAACTGAGCTAGCCCGCTCCTCCGCGGCCATCCACGGGAAGCGCTTTGGGTTCACCAACTCATGACAGGTGTTTGAGAGTCAGTGTACTGCTCCTCGCATAGAGCAGAGTTGAACCTATAATTGTTTCTGGAACTGATAGTAGACTTAGACAATAGAATAGGTAGTGTAAGGCACATGAGTAAAAAATATAACTAAAAGGTTGAACCACCACTAGTACCTCCGATCTTATTTTTGTCGAGCCCGATTTTCATTGTGCACCGAGTTTTGCTCAATTGGGGCAGTTTCGTCCAAGAAGTACGGGGAAAAAAAAAAAAAAAAAAAAAATCCCTAACGCCACAATAACCACCAGATACATTCTTGGAGGTGCTCATGTGATTGTGCCCTCGGTGAGGGCATGTAGCAAACAAACAACGGAAAAAAACAAAAACAAAACTCCCTTATCATGTGATTGAGGGCGGATACAGGATTCCACAACATTTAGGGGTTTATTCGACACTCCTCGGCGCGTCAAGTCCTCGAGGAATTGTTCGCTCCACCTATCCTCAGGGATGAAGTCGGAAAAAAAAAAGTGAAAACACTCCGAAGGAATTTCCTTGGGTTCACGAGGTCCTTTGGGCAAAAGGAATCCGTGTTTCGCGGAGAGGAGCAAGCACATGGATAGAGAGACGTTACAACCAAGAATCTGGATCGTGGCGGCACCCGATTGGCTGAAGGCCTCAAGCACATTTGATTTTTTTTTTCTTTTCTTTTTTCTTTCTGACATCGCTCGAAGGAAACGTCCTCGGATGACGTCCCCAGGGACAGATGGAACGAAGGGCCCAAATTTCCTTTTAAACCAAAATGAGTTTTTCCTTTTCCCCGAGGATTTCAATAGGAGTGTCGAACGAGCCCCTTAGAAGTTATGCGTCACCCGTGAAATATGCGACCACAGGTTCTATGCAAAGCTTTCCAAATGCAGCTTTGCTCAACCCAAAGTCATCTTCCTTGGGCATCAGGTATCCGAGCACTGCCTCCACATGGACGACTCGAAGATCCAGGCCATCGTCGATTGGCCTACCCCTACATCTCTCTCCGCCCTGCGTAGTTTTCTTGGTTTGACTAACTACTATGGCCCCTTTCTCAAAAACTACGCGCATTATTCTTCACAACTTACCCCTCTGACCCGCGGACATCTCCCTTTTCATTGGACCCCGGCTCATGAGGATGCCTTCCGCTCTCTCAAGCGACTTGTCATGTCAGCTCCTGTCTTACACTTACCCAACTACTCGCGTCCATTCATCGTCACCACCGATGCGTTCGACTTCGCTATTGGAGTTGTTCTCTCCTAGATCTACCCAGCCCCTTCTACTTCTCCCGATTCCACAGAGACCCGCCTCCTTCGCATTCCTCACTTCCCTCCTCCACGTCCAGCGACTGCGGCTCATCTTGCACTCATCTAGCCCACCCCCTTAAATTCCTGACGTCATTGATGACGGTACAGTCGAGTCTCGCGATCGAGAGTGTCTGGTTGCTTATCTATCTCGACAGCTACGTCCCGCTGAGCGTAACTATACTGCCGACGAGCGCGAGGTCCTTGCGCTGGTCTACGCCTGTGTAACCCCCCGTACGTATACGGCCCGTCCGTATGGCACATACGGCCGTACGTACGGGCCTCCGGGCGTCCGTACGGTCCGTACGTACGGCCGTACGAGGCGTTTCAGGAGCCTTCCCGGGTCGGGATCGGGCGGGTTAGGGGGTGGGGGGGGGGTGCATGGTGGGGACTACGCCCCCGAA